TCTTTCCCTGTCAAAACAGGGTGCTTCGAAAATAGTGAGAAAGTTTAAAATACTCTATTCTCGAGTTTATTTGATTGATTATAAATATCTCGTTCCTCAGGTTAACAGTAACCTGCGGCTTTTGGCAAAATCGAACGTAGAGAATACCGAGACCCTAAACAATCTTGCCGACCAGACAGAAGAATTCGCTGTTCAGCTCATCGATCAGGTTAATGGCGGTGAGCAGCTTGCAATGCGGGACGTACCGGAGAAAGTTGATCGCTGTGCCTCGATGCTCAGTGGCATGACGGATAAAGCAATTGAATTTTCTCAAAAGAAAGTACGTATCTTGTTAAAAAACAACAACAACAACAAAAAACAAAGATATCACTGGCTACTTGTGAGATGTCACTTTTCTTGGGGATGTCGCATCGAGAGTTTCTCGATTCGATCGTGATTGCCTGCGGATTGAACTTCTTTCATTATGCCAAGGAGTTGCTTTTGAAAACCATGGTACTACTTAAATACAATCTTAAACAGCCCTTTCTTATACCAGACTAAGGTAATATTGGTGATGCATGCTGAGTTGGAACTAGGTTTTATCTGCTTAGCTAATTAACAAATCTTATCCAATCTCGCCTTTTGATTTCATTTATCATCTTCGTTTTTGAATTCTGACTCTAATTATCAATAACAGATTTGAGTTCTTTTATAGTTTGTTACACATCCTATTTTGTACAAGAGACTGCAAATGAGATGGAATCTTGGAATACCTAAGGTCTTAAAGCCTCGTGGAAAGTTTCGACCTCTTATGTACCTACTGATAGTAATAGACACGATATTTACTCCATTTCTGCTCCCAATCATTGGATATGCTTTCTACCAGGACCAGAAAAAGGTGAAAATCATGTAAAATCGTTTGTAATACTTTTTTTTTCTGAGCTTTATCGTATACTGTGTTTGACGGCTGATTTATTTTATCTTTTTTGAAAGGATTTTATTCTCATCATTTTGTAGAGGCGTTTGAGGTCACAGAATAGTGTTCAAGAACATAGTGAAGCATCACAAACAAGTGTGAAAAGATCACGATCGGGTATCATAGGTACGTCAAAAGGATAGAAAAGATTTTTTTTATTAAGGAGCATGCACAGGGTAGCTGGTCAGCTAAATGGCTTAATTTTCGTGAAATGTTCTCGAAGAAGCATGTTCTGTCTTTCTGTGACCCAATGGCCGGGTAAATTCGAGATGGTTATCCAGTTAAAAAGCCGGATGATACAGAAAAGCTGGTTGACTGTTTGGTTCCCTCGCTTGCTCACTTGCCAACTTAAGGGAGGGATAGGTTGATGAAGTGATCGAGTCAAAGATCAAATGATTGATTGATAGATTAAACGAGTGAGTGAATAAATCAATGATCGCTACATTTATTGATTGGTCTCCTGATTTTTTTTTCAACAGATACTTACCTGAATTACCTGACTTCTCCTTTTGTCTTGTTTATAAAAGACAAGCTAACCCAAACGGTATTCATAGCATTTCACTGCATAGTTTGCACTTCGGCGCGAGCGGAAAAATAGTCTTTGCATTTGCTCACGTCAGCAGCGTACACCCATGGGCAAATGGGGGACGCTAAATTGACCAATCAGAGCACGCGCTTTACTATGGTTATGTTATAAATGTTCTTCCTTCACCGTCCACTCTATCTGCGCTAAAAACTTGGCTCTCAATTTGTTCTCATCTAGGTATTGTGAACAAGCAGGGACATTAGATTGGTAGGTCATTTCATTTCCTTAACCTTTCAACCTATAAGATTGAATAGCATCTTATTTGTCGTCGGGGTTAAGAAAATGATCAATAACTTAAGAATTGAAGTTCCTGATTGCTGAACGAATTACCCTTGCTAATATCACAGGAACAGGTGTTACTGATTAATGAAGATTTTTAACCCTTTGAGAAAAAGCTATAAATTAGGTCCACTTCTACATGCGTCTTGTGCAAAGATTTCTGCTGAATCCTTGATAAAAAGGAATAAGAGATTAATAAAGGCACGTGATTATAAGCTACATTATTTGTTTCGAGGTCCCTGCCGAATGATCATATTTTTTTCGTAGAATTGTCTAGGTATTTCATTCGGCAAACTCAATTCAATCTAATCAAGCATGAATCGAACCCGGTCATGATAGACCCACTTAGATTCTATGAATCTAGTATAATAACGTTTACAAATATTTGCAAATTACTATTTACTGGAGGAGCCAGTGCATCTTGTTAGAAAAGTTTAGTACTCGACGACACGCAAAGTGATGCTATGATTTTCTTCGTCATTGGACAGAAATTTGTAAGTTATGCCTTCGTCCATTCAATATATATCGATCAGAACGGAATGGTACTTTCAATTTTTCAGCCTGTACAGCACATCAGGACTTCTTATATGGTCTGTGTTTGGTCTAACTGATTTAAAGACTTTGACCACCGTTGACACTCCTGCCTTCTTAGTCACTAGAGGTCTATACTTGGTTTTCCTTATTTTGACCGTTATCATGCTGATCAACATGCTTGTGGCCTTACTATCCAAGACATATGACCATATTACGGTGAGTTGAGTAACTCGATATCACTTGAAATCGTGACTCGCTACCAGTACAAAGCTCCTTTTTGACAAAAGTTCAAATGAGGCTTTAAACTACTGTGAAATTGATATAAAATTCTCTTGAAAAATTAAGCTTTCGCCGATTCACAGCATGAGTAAGAAAAATATTCCGCGTAAGGCTTAAATGCAAATGTAAAGTAAGTGTGATGATGATGCCAGGGATGGGTGAAAGCTTAGATTTTTAAGAGATTTTGAGCTTAATTATTTTACCGTAGTTTAAGGACTCATTTGAACTATTATCAGTTTTATTATCTAAAATGCTACTGAAAACGAAAATCATGGAATATTTTGAATGAGTATCGAGGCCTCGAAGTTTCCGCAACCGGAGTCGCCTGATTTCTAGAGCAGATAGGGTTAAATGCTTTAGTAAACTTTCTCCGCGCTCGATGAAAACACATATTGATTCACATCTGGTAGGTGACTGATTTCTTAGGCCCAGAAAGCAAATCCGATGTTCTGATTGGCCAATCGATGGACCCGTCTTGCAATTTCGGGATCGCATCCTTTGATCCCGCATAAAAAATATTTAGGCCACAGTCGGCTTGGATGGAGCTCAAACCCATGATCATCCAGTGATAGTTAACACTGTGACCTGGTGCTTTTAACCAACAAAGCTATCATTAGGAGCCGATTATTATTTGAGTCTGTTGTGCCCTTAATTAGATGAACAGAATACATGAAAACAATTCCTTTAAATCGTAGAACTTAAGTATTTATCAAAAAATAAAAACTCGTCCCAGAAACATCGCAAACTGATAAAATAATGCACTAAAAAATTCAGGTTTGAACACTCCTATTTTTTTTTTCGTCAGAGAAAAAAACATATTAATTATTGCTTACGTTTTTGAGACTTTATCGGTTAGTTGTGTGCTTAACTGCGATAATCTTTCTTCACGTAATGCTTTATGCTCTAAAGTAATTTTTTTTTGATATTATAGTTGAGGACAAGATCGATCTGATAATGCAGAAGTTGAACATTTCGCCCTCTAATGTGAGTATTATATCTTTACTGTTCGTTGAGAGTCAGAATTACACCCTGCTGCTGGTCAGGCAAAAATCTATAGCTGCATGAACTTGAAGGTTGGTTGAGCGTCAAAATCGCAGCGCTGGATAAAGGGTCCCTTTGATGCCTTAAGTTACGATCGGTATCTGCGTAAAAATATTTTTGCTTGAAAATCAAGTCCACAATTATCAATAGAAATTGATGAAACTCGTGAGATACCTATTTGTAATGTGTTTGGAAATTTACCCGCTCGAGTCAACCAAAGCTTTGAAATACTAACTGAATAAGTGAATAATTCGACCTCGGTCAGCTGAAATATTTCAGTTTCTGCCAGTATAGTTCGCTCCATCGTCTTTTGATTCAGTCAATTGCTTTTAAACGTTCATCTCAATATAAAACAAATACGAATCAGTACCTGTAAGGCCCTCATTTGAATTACTGCCTATATCTGGGTTGAATGTCACTATGACACTTCGTCTTCATAAAGATATAATCTGTGATCTGTAGGATTCGGCAGCTATTACCAAATAAAACTAGAATAGATGCATACAAGCATGGTTCTCACTGAGTTTGTTGCTTAATTTAGGAGGAAAACAATCCGAGAAGCGTCGAGGAAAGTGTTGTGGACAATTTTTCCATACGAGAGAACAGCCAGATGCCGACTTCATCTTACAAATTCACAGCAGTAGCCAACGATATACAGCTCGCCTCGGTTATCTAATAATACATCAATATCGTCTAGAACTCTCAATTTTGCAGCAGTTTTAATCTTTATTTGGCTCCTAGAGAATAATTTTATCTTATTTTGCTTTTCATCTCAAGCTATAAAAAAAAGAGCCTAAGCCTAAGTGTAATCATACAGTCTGTGCTGCTACAAACTAAAACAGGTCTTCCTCACGTGACTGGAAAAAATGGGCTAGTTCCCTCCAACTCATCATTCTTTCAATTAAGTGAATTAAGACTAGTATCGTTCTAACCAACTACAAAGTGGACTTCAAAACTTTTATCGCCCCCCCCCCCGAAAGAAAATATAGTAAGTGTTTTTAAGACTTCAAGCAAATATTACAATGCTCCTGGACCATTTCGGACGAGGGAAGGGTGAGAAGAGGAAGGCGAGCAAAGTGTAGGAACAAAAATAGCGCGCAAGTACTCGGAAGTTCGAAGTTTAAAATGATTATTAACTAGATGAAGATGAAAAGTTCATTAATGTAAGGAAAAATCTTTTTGATAGTTTAAATTGGAGCCATCGATTAATGGAACGTTAATCCAGCACTTTCTGCCTCTAGATTGTTAGTCCCAGGTTGAATAAATATCGATAAACGCCGGGAAATTTAGAACAGAGAGTTTCGGAAAATTAGGAATGTCTGGTCATTGAAGCATCTGAGCCTTTTCTTGATCTCATTGTATATCTACGTCTATACCTTAAATTCTTTAGTGCATCAAATGACATTAATTATTGCGGAATATAATTTCTGATGTAGTAAATAATAATAATAATAATAATAATAATAATAATTTTTTAATATTTATATTGCGCAAATTAACATGTGGATATGATCAAATGCGCATCACAACACTTTTCGGGGGACTTTGCATGACCGGACTGCATCAGCAGTTTACAAACAATCGAAGGAAACTTATTTGAAGGTGTCCCTCCTCCCCAATTCCCAGTTTACAGGACAGACCACATCACAGTAATCTCGTGAGTGGGTTCTTTAACGTCCCCTGCTTAACCAAATTAACTAATTAATAGATGCAGGAGACGGTAATAAATTAACTGCCACAGCAACTGTTATCGGTGGTAAAATGATTGGTCAGTTTTTCTGTGATGTTATTACCACTCCCTGTGTAATTTACTTTAAATAAATTGCCATTACCATTACAGCACAGTGAATTTAGGTAATATTTAAGAAATGCGGTAAATGGTTTGAACCCGGGGGTAACATTTGGAAGTGTAGTGTGATCGTCCTGGTGAGTGTAGTCCTGAGAAGGACTGTTGTCGGTGGTACAATGATTGATCAGTTTTGCCGTGATGTTATTGGCTGTAAGACTCAAGTGGCGTAAGTCGGTCGTGATCGGTCTGTTTCTATCCGTCGGTAAAATTAGGTCGTTCTGTTGGGTTCGTTTGTACTGTTAACTAAGAACATTCTACTGACAAAAACTATTCACTTGACTCTGATGATGACTCCCGGACAGGTTGTCGAAACGTCAGTCACTACAACCGACAACAGTCCTTCTCAGGATTACCCTCTTAGGAATTACCCTCACCCGGACGATCAAACTACACTTTCACATTTAAGAAATGTTCAAATAACCCTTTAATATTAGAAGTTATGTATTCTAGTTTCATGTTTGCTTTTCTTTATAATTTATTGTGTCTTGAAACAGTTTAAGCTGAGCCAAGTAAGTTAATCTTTCAGCAGTTAGACTGTAACAAACTGCGTCCTGTGATAAAATTAGGGTCACATAACAAAGAGGGTGGCAAAGGTTTTGTACGTGATATATACGCGACGCGTTAATTTTTCAGAAAGGCAAAAAATTCGTGAAGCGTGAAAATGTGTTTAAAGTAAACGTGATGCATGAATTTTTCTAACTTTCATGCTTGAAAAGGGATCAGAATCCCCCTCCCCTTCCTCGATCTTTTCAAACCCTCAACAAAGAGAGATACCCGCTCGAACAATATGGAAGACCCTAAAATCACAAGACTTGCACATAGGTCAAGAATAGGTAGAAAATAAAACAAACAGTTGAAGGAATGAATGAATAAAGAAAAACTGAATTAGAAAAAACATTAATGTAATTCCACACTTTAATCCAAACAGTTATCATAGTTACCGACGAGAAATAAATATGCAAGTAACATAGTGCCTTGTTATCGACCTGAGTTCCTCTGTATGTGCAGACATATATGAAGCATTCGCTTT